GAGGGAGGGAAGGAGAGAGGGAGGGGGCAAGGGAAAGTGGTGGGGGGAAGGCAGAGACGAATGTATTTGAAAAAATAAATTAATTAATAAAAAAAAAGAAGTAATGTCCCTATCAGAAAGAATACTAGACTGAATAAACCCAGCTGGAAAGTCTTATTAAAAAAAAAAAAGCGGGGGGGAGTCTGTAGGCAGTTGTCTGGGCTTTTAAGCCATTCTATATGTAAAATTGATACAGTAGGCAGTTAGACAGACATGAATAGAGTAGGAACGATAGGCCAGGTACAGAAAGTCACTAGGGGAGAAAACCCTGGTGCCTAGCAACATGCAAAACTAGGAAAACAAGTATTGTAGGGTGGGACCTTGCGCCCAAGGTGACCTTCCCTCTCCCTGGGATATCACTGGTCATGTAGTTTAGACCCCTGACCTTTCATATAGTTGGTCATATGGTTTGGACTCTCCCGTGATCTTTCATCCCCTGGCATGTCACTAATCATGAGGTAGACCCCCCAGAGAGGAGGAACAAAGGGGTTGGAGAAGAGCCTCATAGGACTCCCCTACAAGCCCTTGCATGACCACCCCCAGGACAATGAGGTTCTGGTCCACATGAAATAATTTTACAAACAAAGCCTTAGTTCTATTGACCATTGAGAGAGCATCTTGGTCAAATTAGAGATAACATTTAGGCCTCAGTCGTGTTTCAGCTCCTGGCCCAGGGAAGCAGCAAAATCAGACGAAGCGACACCATGGCGGACATCAGGACCAGCAATGACTAATGCCCCCTACCCTAGCGCTGACCAAACAATGGAGAGCAGGACTCTGAAGGGACACACCTGGGAAGCTGATGAATATTCTACTGAGATCCTCTCCTGAGATCTTCACCAAAATTTCCACCCTTGGAACAGATAAAACCCCTTAAGACAAAGGATCCAGTGTACCTGTGCACATGTACGTGCCCCCACTGACTCTCAGGCAAGCCTTCCCCCTTTCTTCTCTCCAGGTGTGTATCTGCTTTCTTTCTCCTAAGCTCCAAGGGCTCTTCTTGTTTCGTGAGTCCACACGGCCCCGCTGGCTCACTTCTTCTACCTCTGCGACTTTCTAAATTGTTTTATTGTATTTGAGTTCTTGGCTCTGAATCCTTTCTTAATCAAACTCAAGGACTGAGGGTCTAACTTTGCTGGTAACATCTGATGCAATTCACCATTAACAAATGATTATCAAATACCTAAGTGGTGAATGGGTGATGAGTGGAGAATTCTTATGTTATTGATTGTCTACAGAGCTTACTCCTTTTGGTTTCATAGAAGGTCTTCATAATTTTATGTGAACAGACTGTTTGGTAATGGGGTGGGTGTGCACGTGTATGTGTTGGCAGCAGGAGACAGCAAAGCAGAAAGGAGAGGATTAAGTACTGAAGTCAGTGAACATTACATAAAAGCTTAAGATATTATAAGACAGTAAAAATAAATGGGAGTTTGTGCCTACAACAGCTAGAGCTCTCCTGGTAGAAAGTGGTAGAAGTTCATCTGGCTAGTTAAGCAATTTCTTAAAAAGCAGGGAGCTGGGGAGGTTTTAGAAGGTTTTGAGGTATAACCAGATCTAAGTGTTAGGATGCAGTTAAGCCCCAGGAATAAACTAGAATAGGACTTTGTGCACCAAACTCTGTTTCCTTTCTGAACATCTAATCATCCTTACCTCCCTACTGTCTGTATCTCTTGCATGACTTTTTACTTTATTTTCAAAGGGGTGATGGGCTTTAACAAGGGTAGGGATTACTGCTGCTATTTCCCCACTATTTCAGAGAAAGAGGTAATAGAAAGAAATGATATTAAGAAAGTATCTATTCCTTGTTTACTAAGATACTTTGTTTGTTTTCCACCAAGAATTGCTTGTTCTTTATGTCCTTCATTATTGTGGTATTATTTACATAAAGTACACAAATTCTAGGTGTACAGCTTGATAAGTTTTCACATGTGAAATCGCACTAAATCAACATATAGAACATTTATAGCACCCCAGAAAGCTATTTCATGCCCTTTCCCAGTTAATCCCATCCCAAAAGTAACCATTATTAACACTTTATTTTGAACCTTTCTTCATTTTGGTTTACAAGATGATTGAGATGATAGAATGCACAAATAAGTAGAATGCATTCAGAACTACAATAGACATTTCAATAATTCGTGGCTAAAGAAAGAACCTCGTGAAGGTAGCAGCATTTGAACATTTTTGAACATGACCTACACTAAAAAAGCAACTTTTTAAATAAAACACCATTACCAGGACATACATACTTATCCCTCCACACTTATAAATAGGATGAATGAGCAGCATGGCTTTCTCTGACTCACCAGTTGACAAAGTGAAAAACACAATCCCCAAGAGCCCTGCTGTATCTTTTCCACTCAAGAAACCAACCAGACTAAAGCTAGAATCCTAGTCTCACCTCCAGATTCCTGGAAAGGTACTTTATTGTTCCAGCCTAACTCAGGTGTCTGCTCCTGGACCAATTCATTATGGTCTGGAGTGTGGCTTCATGCCTGTAAAAATGCCTGCCAGAAGCTCTCTGATAGCATGCAGATCTGGTGGGGAAAAGCGGTTCTCAGAGAAGAACTGAGCTGGGAAGATAACCTAGGAGTTCTATATTATTGTGCCAAATCTGAATTTGATTTTCAGGTTCTCTATGTACTTGCTCTATGATACTAAAAAAATTATTTCTTAATTCATGTAGTTAATATATATTGTTCTCTTAATCTGTTCCAAGAACTGTGTAGGTTTTAAATCCTAATGCAGGGTGGGGCAAAAGTAGGTTTACGGTTATGAGTACCCAAAACACAGAGTTCGCCCCACTCTGTACACGCCTTTCCTCAAGAAACAGCTTTACTTGGGTATGATGGGCATGTAATAAACACACATATATTTAAAATGTACAATTTGGTAAGTTTTGACGTAAGTCTACACCCAGGTAACTAGTACCACAATTAGATAATGAAAACATCCATCACTCCCAAAGTTTCCTCATGCCCCTTTGTAATCCATCCCTCTGTCCCCACCCATTTAGCTATTATTAATTCTACAAATAGGTCCTATACTTCCTTATAAACACAAACTTGATTCAGCTATTTTTGAAAGTGATCTTTTCTTCCACATTTTTAAATTGGCAATTGTTGTTTAGGAAAGCTATTTCTCTAGACACTTTATTGAACTTGTTTCAATTCATTTCTTGGTTTTTCCAAGTACATAACAATGGTACCTGAAAAGACTTTATATACATATACATATATACACACACACACACATACATACATTTATTTATTTATTTATTTATTTATTTATTTATTTTACTCTTTGGCCTTCCTGGTTCAGTTAAGACCTCTGGAAAATGTTGGCTAGTAGCAGCAGGCCTGCTCCTAACAACTTCAGGGCCTAGAGCAAGAGTACGAAAGAAGTCCACATACCCTATGTTTCAATATTTAAAGATTATAGATCAAGCTGTTAGGTTAAAAAGTTCTACCCTGCTACCTCAACACACCTAACTTATAGCAAACATACACGTAATAACCTAGAAGGCTTGGTTCAAAATCCTTGAGTGTCATGCCTCCCTATTGTACTTGAGAGAGTTTTTCCAGAGCATACCTCACCTGACTTTTACTTGAAAGGATCTTGTTTAACTGACCTTTGCTGAAAAAATTATGTTTTCCCATGATATTGCCTAATACTTTTCCTTCTTAGAATTAAAATTTTATAAACATCTCATTTCCAGAATAAAACACCAGCTTTTACAATACCCACAAAGAAAATCCAAATTGCTTAGTTTTTTTACTTATTTTAGAAATTGCCTTTCAAGCCTTTCTTACAGGCCATCAATTTTCCTTGGTCCACAATTTCTACCCCTATGCCTGCCCCACTGGAGGACCCTAAGAATTGAGTTTTTTTAGGCCTGAACATCCATATGACTTCTGATGACTTTTAAATACCATTAGTGGACAGATTCTAAGCAAGTCATCTGAATACTCACAAACACATATAAAAAGGCTGGGCCTGGAAGTTAGGCCATCACCTGTGACCTGAGCAGGGCTTCAAAGCCAGACACCTGCTTATTCATTGATGGTAGGAGGTATAACTGGAAGAACTTCAGATGGAATTTAGCAAGCCCAGTTGAAGTTCAAAGTCGGTCATTAACTGGCTGAAGGGGAGTGAGTCATTTAACAAATCTTTGTTGAGCCTCAGTGTCATTAGCTATAAAACTGGAATAAGGACGTTGGCATTAAGGACTTCACCAGTTTTGGGGGGAAATCACAACTAATCTGAGGTTCCATTTCCGGGACTGTTACAATTAAGACTTGTTCTCTTTTCATCCCACAGTTTTGTGTGTTTGTGGGGGGAGGAGGAATGGGGCGATGGGTGGGGGGTGGGGGAGGTGACGAGAGGCACCGGCGAGAGAGACTAGGTACAACATTTCTGAGCTTCAACTTCTAAGAACACACGGCCAAACCGTCAATAAAACTCCTGAAAAAACAAAGGAAAAGGAACAGAAAAATTTCGCAAAATGCAGAGGACTATACAAATGTGAATTGTCTCATACGTAAAACACAACAAAGTGACCTAAAAAACATGGATGCGTCTCTTTCTTCCTGGCTCCAGTATTGCAACCCCACTACATAAACCTGCACCACTTTTTTAAAAAAATTTCGCCCGCGTTTACTCTCACCTGCATTCTGACCACACTCCGAGAGGAAGGGTCTGGACGAGTGAGGGCGTGGCCTAGCCCAGTCGGCCCTTTGCGACGCCCCGCCCAGTCACGCAGCGCCTGCGCTGTGCGCACCGACCGCCCCCACCCCCCCCAACCGAGCGCCCCGGCAGGAGGTAAGGGACTCTTGGGAGGTCGCTTCAGGGGCGTCAGGCCCTGTTCCGCACTGTGGGCGAGGCGTGCGGTAGAGGCGCCCCCAAGGGAAGCGGGGCATCGGGCTGGAGATGCGAGTGACGTGGCGACTCCTCTCTGTACCAAGAAGTGGCGGTTTCGTTTTTGGAAGCCACTATTCAAAGCTGGTGTAGGGAGGCGGCCGACGGGACAAGAGTGATGGCCTCCCGGGGTCGCGGGGTGGAAAAGTTCCCGGCGTCTGCCCTGCTCGTAGCACACTTGTGGGGCCCAGGACGTCGGGGTCCCCGGCATCTCGGTCCTGAGACCTGCCCGCCCATCAGTTCTCTGGTGGGGGCATTCGGTGTGTGTGGCCCAGGTGTGCCGTGGGTGACACTGCGAGGGGTGACGAGGCTCGGGACTAGTGAGGGGAAGACCCGGAGCAAGAGGTCGGAGCGTCCAGTCAGCCAGTTCACAGAAGGTCCCACAGCTAACTCCCTCCTTTTGTAAATTTCGGAATCCGAAGCTGAGAAAGGAGACCATGCGGTAGGACCAAAGGCCTTGACTCTTCGAATTCAGTATCCTGTCCCCTAGTAAGAAACTCGGGGCGACGTGCCTGAGGATATTCGGTGCCCGCAGTGGGGAAATGTGGGGTCTCTAGGCTGATGGCAGGTGTTCCTCACTTTTGGGTAGTGCTGATGGTGGGAAGAGTTTCAGAGATTTTGGACTTTTTCTGAGAAATGGGGCCTTTTAGTTATAAATAATCTCTTAATCTAGTTAACCTCCCAGTACATTTCCCTCGTGGGAAACATGAGTATTACGGTACTCAGTTGGTGATAGTTTTAAGAACTAAATGATGACGTTTGTAGCACCCGGAACCCCGACCTCCCCGCCCCCCAACACAGTGTTAGTGCGATGAATATGATTGCAGTTTTTTTGACCTATAAATGTTTGCCTTGTTTATGTAAAATGTCAAGTCACACATTTTTTTAAAAGACTTTATTTTGAAATAACTTTACAATTACAGAAAAGCTACAAAATAGAGTCCTCCACAGCTTACTTTATTGTTAACACCTAACTGGTACAACTATCAAAAGAAATTAACATAGGTCCAATACTATACCAATTTTCTTTAGATTTCATTTTTTTTTAATACTAATAACCTTTTTCTGTTCCAAGAGCTGATCTAAGATCCCACATCGCATTTAGTTGGCTTGGCTTCTTAGTCTCCTCCAGGCTGTGACAGCTCGAAGTTTTCTGTCTGTAACGATCGCTATGCTGTAGAAGAGTCCCGGTCAGGTTATTTTGTACAGTGCCCTTTCGTTGGGTTTTGTAGGAATTTTTCTCATGATTTGATTAAGGTTGTGTGTTTTTGTTGATACTGTAGAAGCATATGTGCCCTTCTCAGTTAATCATTTGAGGGGATGCACGATACACTGCATTTCATAATACTTTTGATCGTTTTGTTAAGATGTTATATGCAGGGATTCTCTAATGTAATGTGCCTATGTTTCCCTTTATAAATAATTGATGTCCTGGGAGAAAACTTGTAAACTATGCAAATATCCCGTTTCTCCTCAAACTTTTCACTTTCTGATTTTAACATCCATTGATGGATCTTGCCTTCAGTAATTATTACTGTGATGTTATGATGGTGACTTTCTGTTTCCCTTCTTTCTTCATTTATTTATTGGAAAAGGTGTTCCCTCTTCCCATTTATTTATGTATTCAGTTACTTATTTGAATCAGTATGGACTTGCTTATTTCTCTATTGGTTATTATCCTACACTTTTGTTAGTTATTTTAGGTTCAAATTGTACCAGCTTTGGCCACTGGGAATTTTTTCAGTTGCTTCTTGTGCCCTTTTGACAAATCCCCATCATTTTTTGAGAACTTCTTACTTTCTGGCACTTTAAGATACTTCATTCAGGCTTATCTTGTGTTTTCCCTGCTCCAGCTCTGGAATGAACCTTCTCCAAGGAATCCTGGTTTCTTTTTCTTTTTTCTTTTTTTTAGAGTGGTATTTGAACACCAAGGTCTAGGGAATAGGAATGCTCATTGCTACTGGGGTATCCTTATTTCTCGTGCCTGGCATATATATATACACACACACATAGAGAAAGATGGAGATACACACACACACGCACACACACACACACGCACATCTATGCATATACATATTTATTTATTTTAACTAAAATACTAGTTATTTTAATTTTAATTCAATTTCCAGAAACCAGGTATTACACATATAATAATGGGAAAAATAACACAAAGAGCAACTTTTAGAACATTTTTATCTGATCTGTTTTCTCCCTCCATTATTACTACTTTCAAGAGTTCTTCTATTCTCAAATAAATTTACATGACTTCCAGTTTAGTTTTGTAAAAAAACTACAAAATGTGAGCTATCTATCTTGCACATACAGCAATTCATTATGTGGTTTGTATAAACACATAGTAAGAGACTTTTAATGTAATAGAAAATTTCTTTAAAAAGTCAAAATTGTATTCGTTTTCTCTGAAGTTACAACTGCAATTATCTCCAGAAACTTTAGCATCAGAACCAGCAAATAGGACAATGTAATTGCCTATTTCTAGTGCCTGGATGTGCAAATAGTATGTTCAGTCTCTGAGACCTATGTTTGCAGTCAATATACATGAACTGAAGTTAATTCTCAACCTAGCTCACTGAACATAGTAAAAAAACAAGCACAGTCATCTAAAATTGATAACTCATCCTCATTTGTTAAAAATAGGCCTCATAAATTCTTGGTTCAAAGTTTATAAGGGATAAAAAACTTCAGAAGGTTAATGCCCACAATTGAGAAGTGACTGGACTGTAAAGAAAGAACATGCTGCAAATTTTGCCTTCATCAAAGCGAAGTCTACTCATTAATATAACTGCCCGTATTTACAAGTAGGCAGGCTGGTAAAACACATTTTCAAAGCTGCTTTTAAAAGGATCAATTCAAGATGGGTTGCAAATATGATCACCTTTTTACACCCTTAATGTGGGGAGGTGCTTAGGCACAACAAATTTAGTATGTACACACACCAATTATCCTAGTCCACAGGTATGGTTTTCACCCCAATCTCAGTTGAAAGCCCTCACCCACGGCGCTTTCCAAGTTCAGTACAGTAGGTGCCTTTGATTCTACAGCGGAGATCTGGGGAGATGGGTGAAGAAAGTGTTACCTCCCCAGCCATCCCATATCAAGGTCCATACAACAAAGAATACTACACTGTGAGGCTTTTCTTAAGGAGAAGTTTGGTCTGCCTTTGACTTCAGAATCTGAGAACCTAGAAGGGCCTCACGGGAGGGAGGTGTGGCGCGGCCTCCCAAATACACCGGTTCGGAATAATCTGCCAGTCCCTAAGGAGAAAGAAGATGCTGCTCATTCTTAACACAACTCCGAGAATGGGGACACCCAGGACTCTCCTCAGCAGGGTTCTGAGGACAGGAAGGGGAGGGGATGAAGTGTTACAGAGCAAAAAGCTGAAAAAAAGTCCCAAAGGCAGGATTTGTCCGGACACTGGCCCAAGAGAGAAGGGTGGGGGTGACCTCTTTCGGCAGCCGGAGTGGCAGGGCCGGCAAATGTGGGTGACCCCTGCCCCGCAGGCGGATCTCTGGCACAGCCCGGGGAGCGGTGCACGCCGGGTTCCCGCCCCGGGTCTGGTTCCCAAAGTGCACCAGGTTGAAGGTGCCCTCTCCCCTCCTCCCGCTGCCCTTAAAGGTCTCGGGCCCAGGCTACCTCTTAGGACGTAGAGGCTGCCGCAGCTTCCCGCTGCACATGCCGGACCACAGCGCCTCAGATGTGACGGCGGTGTCACTCAACAAAGTGACCTGGCCGAACGTGCGTCAGGATGCTGGAACCCACGCAGCTCGAGAGGACACTAGCTTCCCACTACTTTCTAGCCGCGCCAACTAGCCTATACATATTTATTTTTAGATATAAATGTAGACATTTATATCTATATACATACATATATATGTATACTGTTACACAGGCCTGGCACAAATAATGCCTCTTTTTTTATTTCCAAAATCTCTTGTTACAAAATCATAAGCTTGGAATTCTGTAACATAACAATATCACACTCAAGCATACCATATGACATTTTAGGTGAAATGTTCAAATTAAATTATTACACCCATATTATTACCCTATCGAGCACACTCAAGCAGGCGTTACTTCGGCCAGGCTCTGTAATATTTGTAAAAAAAAAAAAGTTTATTTTGATACCTCTGATTCTCTTTTTTAATTTAATTATATTTTATTGATTATGCTATTAGAGTTGTCCCAGTTTTCCCCCTTTGCCCCACCTCACCCAGAACCCCCTTTCTCTCACTTTCTCAGGCAATCTCCACACCATCGTCTGTGTCCATGGGTCGTGCATATATGTTCTTTGGCTGTATTCCCTATGCTGTACTTTACATCCCTAAGGCTATCCTTTAACAACCAATTTGTACTTCTTAATCCCCTCACCTTTTTTGTCCATCCCCCAACCCCCCTCCCATCTAGCAACCGTCAAAACGTTCTTTGTATCTGTGATTTAGTTTCTGTTCTGCTTGTTCATTTATTTTGTTTTTTTAGATTCAGTTATTGATAGATATGTATTGCCACTTTATAGTTTTGATCTTCTTTTCCTTAAGTAAGTCCCTTTAGCATTTCTTGTAATAATGGCTTGATTTAGCTTTTTCTTGTCTAGGTAACTTTATCTGTCCCTCGATTTTAAATGAGAGCTCTGCTGAGTAGAGTAATCTTGGCTGTAGGTCCTTGCTTTTCATGAGTTTGACTATTTCTTGCCACTCCCTTCTAGACTACAAAGTTTCTTTTGAGAAATCAACTGACAGTCTTAGGGGGGCTCCCTTGTAGGCAACTAACTGCTTTTCTCTTGCTGCTTTTAAAATTTTCTCTTTGTATTTAACCTCTGGCATTTTAATTATGATGTGTCTTGATGGGGACCACTTTGGGTTCATCTTGTTAGGGACTCTCTAAGCTTCCTGGACTGGTGTGCATATTTTCTTCACCAAGTTAAGGAAGTTTTCTGTCATTTTTTCCAAATAAATTTTCAATTTTTTGCTCTCTCGTCTCCTTCTGGCACCCCCATGATGCGAATGTTGGTATGCTTGAAGTTGTCCCAGAGGTTCCTTATATTGTCCTCATTTTTTTGAATTCTTTTTTATTCTTGCTATTCTTATTGTGTGTTTTGTGCTTTCTTATATTCCAAATTGCTGATTTGATTCTTGGCTTCATCTGCTCTACTGTTGATTCCCTGCAAATTGTTCTTCATATCAGTTAGTGTATCCTTCAATTCTGACTGGTTCTTTTTTATGGTTTCATCCT